ACGGTAGTGGTTCGATACCACACTGGGCCCACCAAGCCTCTCATCCCCATTCCTCCAGAATGTGGAAATTGATACCAAACTTGGCTGAGAAAACTTCATTCTCTGCAACCCAAGTGGGAACTCTTTAGCCAGTCTATCTCAGGACTCTAAGGAGAATCAACTAAACTAGTATTCAACGATATTCATGACGAAAAGAAAATCCACAAGCAGCAGTCCAACCTACAAACCAAAAGTTGGAGGACCTTTTTGGATAATGGATGCTAGGATACAAATCAAATTAGAAAAGTGCTGGTATCCGCATAGTAGATGTGAAAGGCGGGTTATGTAAAATGGATAAATAAATGTACAATAATAATAATAATGCTGAGATATTTTTAAAACTCCGGACCACAGGTTTCTGGGGTAGGGTCGAACTTCGTTCTTATTCTTTCCGAGAAAAATTTGTATGGAATTTTTGATCGATCCAGCTCCTTACATCCATTTTCCACGACCTAAATGTCGTCAATTACTGATCCATTCGATTCTCTTTGGAATCCTGTGATAACCGCACAAGTGAGTTTCGTGGCTTTCATTACAAGCAAGCTCCACATTCTGTGGCTTAGATGAAGAGATCCAACACAGGTAAGTCAGGAACTACTTTCAGAACGCTATGGGGGGATGGATGATTTAGTCTGGATCAAGCCAAGGAGTTGCATCTGTTGCACGGACTATCACTGCGCTACCCACACCACTTTCTTTTTGTATTTCACCCTATATCCCGCCATAAAAAAAATAGCCAGTAAACAACAAGTGCATTAAGTTTATTTTTTTAAAAAAGAGATTAAGTAAATATAATTCGTATATAATGCTGAGATATTTGCAAAACTCCGGACCAGGGTTGTATGCGGTCTTTTTTTTCCAGACGCGGATGGTGTGGTGGTGAAGTGCGCTACCCCCCGGAAGGGACAATAGCGCGCGTTCGTTCCCCACCGCATACACCCCTGGTCCGGAGTTTTGCAAATATCTCAGCATTATATACGAGTTATATTTCGCAACATACTCTGCCATTAAAAAGAAAAAGGCAGTAAATAAAAGAGTTAAGTAAATATAGTTAATTCTCCCCTTTTCATAGGTAAATTCCTTTTAATAGAAGCAAAAAAGAACTGCAACACAAACTTAACACATACCAACGTAAGTTGGAAAAAGAAAAACTGTGAAGACCCGGAATGAAGAAAAAAAGACACGAAAAAATGTGTAAGGATGTAAAAAGGATTTCCAAATACTTATCATGCTTATCATGCTTACGTTGCTCCCCGAATAAACTTTGTTTATTGGGGTGTCGTACAAAAATACTACTTGTATACTGGAATAGCCCGTCTTTACTAGTTGTGCGGGTCTCAGCATAAGTCCCACTTTTTCGGAGTTTTGCTTCTCTAACCAACGTGGTTCACTGGAGTCCCGAGGTCAGCCTGGCGAGAGTCTACCCTAGGTCTTCACCACCACAGGCGGTCGGCGGCCTTTGTAGATCAGAGGGAGATTTGCCGCCATGCGACTAGCTCCATACCAAGACGGTGGTGGACACCTGGTATTGGTTTACTTTTAGCTAGGCTTCTTGATGGAAACACCGGACTCCTTTTTAGCTTGGGAAACCCTGCTAGGGAGATGAATCTTCCGCTGTATATCGCAGCCCAACATCCAAGAGCGCCTCCCAACCACGACTGACGGTAAACCGTAGGAGGTAACATTTCAGTAAGAAAATGCCACGACCGACTTTCTATTAACCACGGCATTCATCAAATAATTCTTTATATCCTTGTTGAGTAAACACGAGGTGTTATTTTATTCTTTATTCAGATCTAAAATCAAGTTGCTAGGCGTTGCTGCTTTCAGTGAAAATTCATGGACAACTTCCATAGTAGTTATGGCTTCTCTGCCTTTATGTTACTAAATTTTACTGGTCCCAATTGAACTCGTGCTCTAAACGCACATTTGGTAAATACTGTATTTAAGCGTAATCGAACACCTCTCAACTTCAGAAGTTCTCGATACTACCATAACGTTGCTGAGATATTTGCAAAACTGTGGACCGCAGGTGTCTATGGTGGGGAACGAACACGCTATTGTCCTTTCCGGGGAGTAACGCGTTCGCCACCACACCATGCGGGTCCTTCGTTTCGCTGAGCTGAGAGACAAGCGAAGCGAAGGACCCGCATGGTGTGGTGGTGAACGCGTTACTCCCCGGAAAGGACAATAGCGTGTTCGTTCCCCACCATAGACACCTGCGGTCCACAGTTTTGCAAATATCTCAGCAACGTTATGGTTGTATTTCGCCTAGTACCCTGCCGCGAAATTATAGTAGGCAGAAAATAAAAAGGTATAACATTGTGATTTCAACTACAGCCGCAGCTTAACTGGGTTCTATGCCGATTTGGGCGCCCCAGATCAATCCCGCTGACGGGTGATTGCTGCGGGAAAAGATCGATAGAAATAGCTGAGAGACAAGCGAAACGAAGGACCCGCATGGTGTGGAGGTGAACGCGTTACTCCCCGGAAAGGACAATAGCGCGTTCGTTCCCCACCATAGACACCTGCGGTCCACAGTTTTGCAAATGTCTCAGAAACGTTATGGTTATATTTCGCCTAGTACCCTGCCGCGAAATTATAGTAGGCAGAAAATAAAAAGGTATAACGTTCTCGATACTATTCAAAATGTTACTTGTACCTTCCATCGCGCCCACGTATGTAAACCACCTGTCAAAATATGCTGGAACCGCCATAGGACTTGAGTTTATTTGCAAGCAAGTGCTAAGGGTTAGGTGAACGTTATTCCAATCATGAGAAACGTCATCCTCGTTGTCTCTTCGATAGCTCGATGAGAAGTCAGTAAGGAAGAGGAAAATTCGTCAATCTCTAAATAATAACCACTTCATCTAGTCTTCAGTGAAGCATCACTCTTGAATGAGCCATACTCACTCGGCAATGCGCTTTCATATAGGATGGTTCTTATCGATAGCGGCAATTGTTCGGTGATAGATGTGATAATTGTGACAACCACTTGTTTTTGTCGCACAATCCATCCTGTAGAAGTCGGTATCATTAACCGACTTTCCTTTAATCTCCGTATGACAAATCAATATGTATAGTTTCTTTCATAAGCTTGCACGAGATTGATAAGTAATGCTTATTTTCGGCTAACGTTTCGACAGTATCGTCTTCATCAGGACCGAAATATTTACCATTTATTTAGTACGAGTCATAGTTGAGAAACAAAACCGGCACTTCTTGCAGACCGGTCTACACTTTTCTCGTGGAAAATTAGGTGCATAATTACATATATTAAAAAGTCTACAACGGTGTCGAAGAAAGTAAAAGTAAGAAAGGAACAGAAAGTAAGAGAGTAGGAGAGTAAGAGAGTAAGAGTGTAAAAAAAAGAGTAAGGGTAAGTAAGAGAAAGAGTAAGAAAGTAGTCAGAGTAAGAATTTAGGTGCGTTTTAAGTAGGTTATTACGAAACTTGCTGATTTGAACTATCCAACTGCATCCGATTTTTGCCCCTTGCCTTCGCAAACAGTTACCACACGTTTGCTCAAATCCGTAAGTGTACAGATTTGAAGTATGAACTCTACGCAGGCAGTCGTGTTTGCTTCTCAGTAACTCTATATAACTAGAATAATGAAGTGTATAGATAAATCAACAGTTAGAATAAGGAATAAACGAGCAATCCATCAGTAATGGATCTAGGCAGTACCATCGATCGGCGGCGTACCAATGGTTTTCATTGAGTGATAGGTCATCAAGACGATCTCACTGATATTTCTGTCGTAGTTCGATGCCGGCGACGATTGTTCGGAACTGAAATTGCGAGATTTTCCACGTGCGTACAATCTATTATGTTATACTCCATCTGTCATTTTAATGACGACAACACAATAAGTGTATATCGATTGGAAAGCGACAGATTAAAGCCGCAGGTAAACGACGACATTACGTCGGTCAATCAATACCCTTAAAATGTAAATGACAGCGGTTGGTATGGAGCTGGGTACCAATTATTTTTAGATATATCGGCGAAGATTTCGGAAATTCCACAAATCCAACTTCGGTTGTCCGAAAACTTCGGGTGGAAATGGATTCGATTATCTTGATATTTGAAAATAACATTGTGTTGTACACCCAGTTTCATTAACAAAAGCATCTTGACTGGAGACCAACAACATACAACGAAATACAGCTTCCTTCAAAAAAAAATATCGAACTCGGTTTATCTCTAATTCTTTTATTATTACATAAAACGTGTAGCGCAGTGATCGGGGGCTCTATGCAAATACACATGAGATCCATTCCGTGCCCCAGGCCCACCAAGCCCTCCATCCTTCCTAGTTGGGCAAATGGGTACCTGTCTGGAAAGATAGTACTGACTCAGTACAATCGTATGCCACCGCGAGAGAAAACCTGATATGCATCCAATCACATCTAACGATACCTAATGAAGTCGAATGCATGGCGCACCCCCAAGGATTGATGAACGGGGAGAAATTTGCCCTTTATCCTTTATTATACGAAACTATTCATTAATATTGTAGTGTATTTCTAGCGCTCCCAACGATCTACCTCTTCGTCGTAGCTGGGAGGTGTTTTTGGTTGTCGGGCTGCTATGTACAACGTAAGGATTCATCTCCTCGGCGAGGTCTCCTAAGGTGAGGAGTCCGGCAATTCCATCAGGAAGCCCGGCTAAGAGTGGACGAACACCAAGATCCACCACCGACCAGGTATCGGACTAGTCACATGGTGGCAAATTTTCCCTCTGATCCACAAAGACGGCAACTGTCTTGGGTGCTGAGGGCCTACGGCAGACTTTGGTCGAGCTAACCTCGGGACTCCAGCGAAGCAATGCTGGAGCCCGCACAACCAGTGAAGACGGGCTATCCAGGCCCCCAATTAAGTAAGTATTTTTAGTCGTATTACCCAACGAAAACGTTGGTCATTTTTTCAGTGCTTTTCCGTTGATCATTAAAGAACATTATTAGTGAGCTTCTACTGGACAGCCTCCTTTTAATGCTTCTACTGAGAAGGGACTAGTATTAAGACTAGCACACCTGCTTGTATGATCTGCAGCCGATCCAATAGAACGTGGAGAGAGTTCGTACTGTCGTCGTTCATGATACGCCCCGTAGCCAGCGCTTCTGTACGGAACCGAAACCTTCTTTGTATCCCGCGTTACCACTTTTAATTCCGATTTGTACGGGATAACTAGAAATAATCACAACACTCTATGGTCAATTCGATTGTCAATTATTAACTTGCTAGATGTCCACTGTAACTTTTTGCAGCATACCACGATATTAGGTATTTTGGAAATTCATTTCAATCTGTATTTTTAAAGGGATAAATCCCTCGCTGTCCATCACAGCCCGTCACCCAGGAACACCTTTCAACCACGATGAGGCGGCAAACCGTCTTGCCAGGTTCGCTGTAGAACTTCGGCTTTTGAAAACGCTGTGGCGCTACATCGCCGTCCGACCACTAAACTAATCTTCACCAGTTGCTAGTGATACATTTCACGTCTCGCGTCACACTACGGTTTAGAAACAGGCCGTTTTAGTTGCACAGAAGCAGCGCCGGCAATAGCTTGCAACGGTGGCTTAGTTCACTGCCGTTGAATTCCTGCGACATTCGCCTGTTGGGCTTCTTCGACCTTCTAATGGTCTTTAATGCTACGAAACAGTCGACATCAGTCCTTCCGCAAGTTCTCGAACAGTTGTGTATGTATTTGCTCGCAAAGCGTTCAATTTATCGCCCCTAAGGGCGGAAGGACGTCTGTGACCTTCCCCATTTTCAACATCGAATTCTTCATAACGAAATCTTCCAAATCGACGTTGCACCGTGCGTTCAACAACATTTGGTCCGGTACTCCAGCAATGTTTCGAGCCGTTTGGCTGCAATTTGTCCTAATTTGAATTCATAGGACCAGATTTGACGTAATCCCTGTTTTGACATCTGATATTATCTGATCTCATAAGGTTTAAAGGTTGTCAACATCATGGTTCATGTTGCAGTTCAGTTTTACGGATCGAAAGTGTATAAAGTGAACTCTGCAACAATGTACAGAACCACAACAAGAAATATGGTGTTTCAAACCTGACGTTAATTTCCTAAAAAAACCTGATAGATTACTATTACGGGTGATTGCTGATGGCACTGATCGATAGAATTAGCTGAGACATAGGCGAAACGAGGGACCCGGATGGTGTGGTGGTGAACGCGTTACTCCCCGGAAAGGTCAATAGCGCGTTCGTTCCCCAACTTAGACACCTGTGGCCCAGAGTTTTGCAAATATCGCAGCAACATTGTGTATTTCGCTTAGTACCGTGAAAACTGTTGTAGGCAGATAATAAAAAGTAAAACCTAATAGATTACTGTATTACTCGAGGTGAAGCATTCTACGACATTCAGGATGAAATGAAAATCCTCAAACAGCAACCGAAGCCACACGTAAAGTTGGTAGATCCTTGTGGACAATGGATTCGAGGAAATGAATCAAATGTGAGAAGTGCTAGGATCCCCACGGTAGACGTGAAGGCGGGTCATATGAAATGAAATGGAATTAAAAAAAATGATCCCATAACAAATGTACAACGATGATGTTCTCATAAAATACTCGACTTTAAGAGAAATCCAACGGCAGTTTCTCAAAAAATCACCACTAAAAAGCGTTCTTAGTTGAGTTCCAGTAAACACAGTTGGACGATTCTCAATCGTCAATCGTCGTTGATCATAAAATGCAACGATTTCAACGCAAACGGTTTAGGTTCGATTTAGTGGCGGTAATTTCGTATGCGTCCGATGAAAAAGGGAACTGGGAACCATCAACTAGACTTCGATGAGAACTTCGTTAATTTGACTTCATCGCGACAAAACTTTACTCCCAGCTCAATTATATTAAGCCTTGACGCATTGGAAGTTAAGCTGAGAGTTGTCTTCGTACTTCAATATTTAAACAAGCAGGAGCCCTACAGACTCCAATCATCAAGTTTACGTCGAGTATTTGCGTTTGATATTATGCGCACAGTTCGTGTGTGGGTGTGGGTGTGTGTGTCTGTCACTACCATCGAATTAACTCCGTAAGCCACAACCACATGGCGGTGGTTTTCCACCGAACTGAAGCTTCCGAACAGGAAAAAAAATTCCACGAAGAAAATCCTTGACAAATTTCTATGAAGTTCAAGTTGAAGAAAATTTACTCAGCCAAACACCTCTTTATTTAACAGAACTGACTCTAACAGGAAAATCATGAAACCTAGATTTCAACCACATCGAAAACAAAACAGCTTCTTCGCAGACTCACCAATTTCTACATCTTCCACTGAACATTGTACGTGAAGCCAACTTCATAGGGTTCACTAGGACAGACATTGCAGTCCTCTCACACTAAAATATCGGCTCGAGATATTGTGTGAGATCACGCGCTACACAGAGGATATCCGTCTGTACAGTTCATTCTTGGAAGACTTTACGGCACAAAACTCTCAATACATTCTGGATATTTTCCAAGAATCAAAAATGAACAGCAGGGAGGAATACTACGTTGTCACGCGTGATCTCACACCATGTTTAAAACTGAAATTTTAGAGTAAGAGAAGCACATTACTCATCTATGACAACACTATTCGGTTGGCGTCCATGTGAAAAATACTCACTGGAAGACTCGTAGAAAACGGTGATTGTACGATTAAGCTATTTTGTTTTTAGCGAGATTGAAATCTGGTTTCACGATCTTCCTGTTGGACTTGAGGAGCTCTTTGGTTGACTAAATTGCACTCAATCTGACCTTCTCAGGCTCTAAATAAACCGCTGAAACGTAAACTTTTGTGTGAATGAAGGGCGAAGCAACAGGCTCGTGTGTGCTTATCAAAAAAAAAAAACGGAGAATATTGGTGAACGCTGAGATTAATAGAAAGTTGGTCCTGGAAATAACATAAATCTTTCTTTTTCCTAGAACGCTACAGTTTGTGATGTTAAACCGTTCTACCCATCCAAAAAAGAATTTCTTTACGGATTTGATCCACGTTATCACTTAATCACGGAGCGTATGGCGCAGTGGTTGGAGGCGCCACTGCGACAAACACGTGAAATTGATCCCCGCAACCATGGTCCACCAAGCCTTCCACACTCTGGAGTCGGCAAATTGGTACCAGACTTGTCTGGGAGGATAGCAGCACTGGCTCGATACATCGGTAGGCCACCGCGAGTCATTGTAAATACCAGATAAGCATTCAATCACCTCTAACGGTATTTAATGAAATTGAATGCATGGCGCATCCTTCAGAGATTGATCAAGAGCTTTATCTTTATCCTTTCATTACTTAACCAGATCTCTGCCTCCCACATACGCTTTTTAAGGAGCACATAGTGTTATCTGGTATGGTGATAGAGTTTGTGGTCATTTTTCCTTATAATAACACAACAAGTAGAATAAAAATGGCAAAAAAATCGATAATCATAGTGGTAGAGATGATTCTCGAAAACGTACGCGTTATTTTCTCACTTGAAGTGTAATATTTTTATGTGGACGAGCAATTTTCTTCATGGCAATGGACAAATTCCATTTACCACACACCTAGAAACTCGACACAAAGTCGTTTCATGCAGCTCTGCCTTGATGTAAATCTACTCCTAGCTGTGCTTCCAATGGAAATGTTAAAGCCCTTACCAGCTTTGATCACCCAGCGAAGAGCATGAAGCCAGCTGTGGCAACGTAGTTTGACAGCCATCAACACCTACCACCCCTAGCGTTGTAACTGTAGATGAGCGTTTAATTGTAGAAAAGGGTTTTTTGCATAGAACATAAGATTTTCTGGACCATAACATAACATTGTTACCTTCTAACGTTTCCTTCTTCTTGGCTTCTAATAATTCAACTATTGGTTTTAAGCCTTCTTTACTATAATAGAAAGGCGAGAGTGAAAAACTCCTTACCTCCGCTTATGTAACCAGGAATGGGAGTGGAAATCCGTGGACTTAGTGCTGGAGTTCGATGTGGAGGACGAGTGTCGTTGACAAATTTCTGTGCGGAAGAGGAACCAGAATCCTCATCGGTAACACCCCATTTTGTTCCGAAGCGTGTCATTGAATCTGCACAAAGAAGCGTGGAAATGGAGTCATTTGTGGCACTATGGCCTCTTTTTCCTAACTTAAAACTGGGACCTCCAGTTTTTAAACCCACAATTATAAAAGCGGGTTTCGCCTCGGACATCAAAATAAAACGATAGGGGCGGGGAATCCAAAAGTAGTCTCGGTTCCTCACATTTTGCAAAAAGTACACCAAAAATCTCCGCGTTACAGAATAAACGATTACAAAGGAGATGTGTTGATATAAATTCGAACTGGCCCAATCACTCCATGTATGACTGGAAGTCCACACGCGTCGTATTCTTTACTGAAGTTTTTTTGGAAGCGTTTAAAACAGAAATATTATCGATTGGTAGCTATGCCTCCGCCTAGTAACCTTAGAGGAAATACCGTTTACGAAGGCATTTTTATACCTTTGTCATTTCCCTTGTAATTCAGTGTTGCTTCGTTAGCTCTGGGAAGTCTTTAAGCTTTTATCCTCGACATAATATTCTGCCTCTATGAATTACATCACAGTGGTCTTTTCTCTCAGTGAAATACAAAATGAGATAATAGCATTTTGGCATTTCATATATTTCATTTGAACAACGATCACCTATCCTGTTACGTTCATACATAGCGTATTTGTCGTACGTCGGCACCGTTGGCACTGCGCGCACTGGCGACGTGCTACGACTGCGATCTGAGATTAACAGCTTGCGTTTCTGATGTGCTGGTCCTGAAGCGAACATTAACAATTGCGGTAGCTATTGTTGCATTTAGAGAAATGCTACTCTTTCACATACCACACTGAATAAGTAGGTTTTATCTACGTTTTACATGGCTCGTCATGACATCAACTGTGCAGATTCCAGCGCTTCTTACAATGGAGTTTTTCCTCCAATTCATCGTCCACAATAGTTTTTGAAGAATTCGCATGTTGTTTCCGCCTCTTCCTTAAGGTGTTTCGCCTTCTTTATGCCGGTCGAGTCACTTTCCTTTGCAATCTTTGACATAGCCGGGCCAGCGCGTTCCCACGTGGATTGGAGGACAGCGATGGCGTCGGGACTGAACTAGCCTTTTAGTTGCTTTTACTTTCTGATCTACAACGTCGGTAACCACTGCGCTATCCCCGCTCTGGATAAGTTAGTAGGCTAGTTAAGTTAATAGCTGAATAACACAAGTTTGAATGTTTGCTCCGCAGTTACATTTCTGCACTTCCCACTTTGTTGTTCCTTGTTTTAATTCAACACTGTGCCGTTTCAATGTTACTTTCCTTTGATAAAAGTGACCTCTACAAAAGGAGTTAGCAGTTTTATTCCATCATTTTCACAATATTTCCCAAAAATTTTGGGTTTTATAAACTTTTGGATGAACATCAGTGCTTATTGAAAATTAAATGAATAAATTAGAATAAATTGAAGAAAGCACATCTGCTAAGCTTCTGTTTTGGAGATTTACAGCAGTAACATACCATATCCAGCAGAACGATGAGGAACACTCTCTCGTGGGCTCACTGGTACGTCATCATTCACTAACACCGACACGGGCAACTGGAATTTCGCAGTCGGCTTCTTCTTAAATGCTAAATGAATTTGGATTCTCCTCGAGAAAAAAATGACTCTAACGAAAAGAAAAAGGTGATGTTTGTACTACTGATTAAAGTAGTCTATCGTCCAACTTTTTAACTGGCTTGTGGAAGTTTTGAACGACCTCTCGACCACCTCTTGGTCAATCGTGCCGACGCTGGGATCTTTAAGGTTTAACTCATTCTCTCCGGTAAACTATGATTCCCCATCTCATGATACTTTACGGGAAAGAAAGGATTGGAAAATGTGCTTGGGTCATCATTACCAATGAGGACGGTGCACCCAAGTTTCCAAGTATTAAGCAACTATCTCATGAAACTACGTAAGCCGAAGTCGTGGCAAAGCTTCCGGGAGTAATCAATCTATGAGCGACGTGCTATGCTTTCGACATCACTAGGCATTGTTAGCATTGACTGCGTGCTCACCTGGCCTAGATAATAATTTGTGGCGGTTAACCGATGTGTCACGTCAGTAGTGTCATCTTCACAGATAACACCGCAAGGATGGAAGCTCAGTGAGCACTGGAAACGGGATCGAACCAACGACCACATGTGTACTGTAGGAAATTCTGACCACGGTGCTACATGCCCTCCTAGCTTTCCTACTACAGACAGTACCGACAAATTATTTAAAATACCTAAAATTAAAACCCTCTCCTTTCTTTTTGACAAACTACTTCACGAAGAGCTGTAGTTGACGATATAAAGTTCATGAAAGAGTCTTCTCTCAGAACCTTTAAGAGAATTCTAATAGTTCTTAAACAGATTGCTTTAGAACACAATAGATGTAGTTAGTGAGAAGTCTATTTTTAAAAGTTTCAACTTAAAAACTCATGTGTTGCACTCACCTGCTACTGGCTCCGATTCCGGTGTCCATCCAACCATTCCAATGGCATTCAATGGTTCATCTGTTATGTCCTTTAAAGAAAGTGCGTACTTCACAGGTTTTTGTGCCATCCTTCAGTAAAGCTTTAAACTTTAAAACCATGTAATGATAAAAAGTACTAAGTTGCTGATTGCTTCAGAGGATCATTAATGTGAAGTATAATGTAATGTGTACTTGATATGGCACCCTGCCATGAATAAATAGTAGGCAATAAATAAAAGTTAAACATTAGTCACTAAAATTTTAAAACCGACTTTCCTTTAACCTTTGTATTACTAATCAATATATATTCTTTCTTTATGCACGGGGCATCACCGAGTGAGTGTGCCTAATTCGGGAGATGGTCCGCTGAGGAAGACACAACTCGATACGAAGGCGAATAGGCCACATCGACACGAAGAAGATCTGTGGTCTGTCGACACGAATCGTGAGCTCTGATGAAGACGAAGACGGCGAAACGTTAGCCGAATAAAACTTTATCACCCTCGTATAAGGTCATCAAAGAAAGAATACAATTGCCCACTAATGCAGTTCCTATTAAGAAGCTTTCAAAAATCTTGTTTCGTTGATTAAAAGCTTCACTTACTGAAACGGTAAAAGAAAAATCGCAATGGATCAATAAAACTCCATAAAACTTATAAAATTATAGCACTTAAACGAAAAGTCACTCTAAAACCCACTCACCTCAAAGGGAACTCTGGCATAGTTAAGATTTTCAAGGTGCCCGAAAGCTGATGTGATATAAGGCACGCTCTTTCCACTTAAATTCCAACGTCCTAAACTTACAATTGCAAATTTATTCTATTATTAGTTGCATTACAAATCCACTAGTAATCAGTATTTTTATGAATCAGCTGGAGACCTTTCAGGGAAAAGTTTGCTTTAAAAAGAACGGTGAAGATTTCCTCAGATTCCATACCAGTCTTAACCAAAAAAGATCACATTCATGAGTCTTTAGAAGAAAACATTCTACCATTCTAAGCAAACTGGAAGCAGATTTTCGGGACACGAGAAGGAAAAACGTTCATCTGCAATCTCAGACGATATCTTCAAGATGATTTCGTCTTAGATGAGCAACATCGTAGATGAATCTGAGTCATACGCACTTCTTTTGAAGAGTAAAGCATTCATCGTTAACGAATCGCATCTGGTAGGTACGCACCACTGGACTCCATTCATGACATCGTAAAGATGATTTAATGCATATTTGGTGGGTGATTTACGATGCCCGACCGATGTTAGAAGTTAGCGTTTTTATCCTTACAAGTGCGGTAGCAATTTACCGACCCGGAGCGGGAAGGGACTTTCCCTAAATTCGAGGTCCAACAAAAAACCAGTTGCATAGTGCAAGGAACCTCTAACCGCTTAAAGCACTTACTGTTCACACACGCCTTCTCGCATTCCTCAATCTGTAGAGTTCAATTAACCTCAAAAATCTTACCTTCCAAATCCAGATATTTAAGCCGATTCGATCCGTTTCCTCTAATAATGGAATCTATGCTAAAGTATCTAACATCGTTCGTATTCAATCCAAAGTCCGGTAGGAACATCATCGACGTCATAATCGCTGTAATAGGCAAAATTGAGCTCCCAATAATCGTCGAACGATAGAGATTTAATATAAAAACTCATATACAGAGGAAAAAAACCCGTAAACATGACTTTTTGGACTAATACTGTGAGAATTTCACTTAGTGGACCACTTAGTGGGGACTTAAATGACTACCTAGGTACTTTATTACAATCTTAATGTGTTCCTTTTACTTCTGTTATTTCATCACGACTTAATCATCCGTTTCAGCTATCGTCATCGCATGAAAACCAATGAACATTGTTTTTGTTTGAACGACAACGTCAAATCGTCTTAATCGGATTTTCTTTGCTCTATTCTCCGCGCTATAATGCTTATTGATCAAAGTTACATGTGAGTATCGATTAAACCTACCACTATCATGGAAAAATACTATTCTCTAAGTAAAAACCCCTAATAAATCATCATTGTTAACACCATTTTTGTTCATGTAGACAATAATGGGAACGTACTATGAGTTAAAAACAGACCTATGTGAGAACGTTTTAGCCGCAGTCGTGCAGAGGACACAATTTAGGCTGACGCTGTTTAAATAGTGAATGACTAACTTACTGGCGTAGGCGTGGTAGTAGTGTGGACGGATTTAGAGAAAGCTGATTAACATTCTAGTAGGATGGAGGTTGGGCGAGAAGAACTAAGAAGAACGGAACGACGGAGGAACGGAAGAAGCGGCTAAGCGTGGCACGAAATGATTACGGTAGCACACGAGTTAACCGGTTGTCGACCGGCCGGCGTGTGACTGCAAAGAAATGCTGCAGTCGATCGCAATCGCTCACTTACATATCGACCATTATTTTGACAAACCTTAAGTAAACTCAATTTCGATCAAAGATTAATAAATGATGGAGATTTTCTCCGTATAAAGAATGTTGCGCGATTTCACAATGTTTTAACTTCACCTCTATTTACTGCCTGTTCATTTTTACGGCAGGGTGAATAAGGAATAAAGCTCTCGGCGTTGATTAATCCCTGAAGGATGCTCCATGCATTCTACTTCATTAAGCATCGTTTGGAGGTGACCGAATGCATATCTGGCCTTTATAATGACTCGCGGTGGCCTACCGATGTATCGAGGCAGTGCTGCTATCCTCCCAGACAAGTCTGGTACTAATTTGCCGACCCAGGAGGGATGGAAAGCTCGGTGGTCCATGGGCGCGGGGATCGACTCCACGTGTGTTGGGCGCCTCCGACCACTGCGCCACACGCATCCCATGTGGCGGGTAGCATGTGAAATAAAACCAAAGGATGCTGGGATATGAGCACAACTCAGAACCTCAGGTGGACTTCATTCCTTTTCTCAGGTCGTTGCCGATAGCATACAGTAAAAAATTGAGCGAGAAAAGACAAAGTGAAGGCCACTGGTGTGGTGGATAGCAGGTGAGCCTTCGATAAAGGTAATCACTGGTCTGAAGCGCACCTGAGATTCCGAGTCTTGTTTATAACTCAGCATTCTCGTGATTACATGGTTTCCTTAAATCTTAAATGGCCTAACACAACTACGTTTAGGAGAACATTGAATAGAACAATCAGAAAAGAATTAGATAAAAACTCGTCCTCCAGTTGAATGATTCTTCATGCAAACAGGCCATTTATGTGCTAAATGCGACGAATAAGTCCCCAAGCAGTTCCAGTGTCGTCCATGATAAGTAGTGTTCTTTACGTTAGTTGTTCACTGGGTCATATAACTAATCAACAGTGTCTGCACTTCAACAACTATGCGTTTTCATGAAAAATTGGAAATTAAAGGTGTTTCTACTTTACTTGTCACACGATACGACATCACGTTTTCTGCGGATCCTTACAGCAATTCCTTAACTCGCTTTCGTTTCCCGTAATCGTCATCCACCACGATCCTCACGCTTACTTGTGGGTTCATCTGCAGATTGAGCACATTTGACCTCGCTGGAAAATGTCGCTGAATGCTGATGGAGCGGGTTCTCGACCACTGATGTACTACTTCATCCTCAGCTCTTCATCACTGGCGATAGCCAGCTTGTTTAGATTGCTCTTCTAAACTACCCAGCAACAATTCCCCAAGATCCTTAGCGATCGGAAGTCTTATTAGCCTATTGCGGGATCAATGCTAGACCTTGCGTATTTTGAACGGCACCTCTACCACTTCGCTACCCATCTCTTTAAATCGTGCTACGCTATATGCCAGCTGATGAAATACTGACTGCTGCAGGCTGCATTGCTTGCTGGAAAACGAGTCATATTAGATGACAACTGATCAACATCCGACCTGTATAAAATGGCATTTCGGGGTGATGTTATTCATTTGTTAGATAGGTCCCTTCAATGTATTCGACTCGATGTAACAACGAAGACCTTTATCACTAGGACGATCACCTGAGGACCATGCACTCGGATCAGTCCGGCTCTGAACAAGACGAGGACGTCGAAACGTTAATTGAACAAATCTTTTTATGCTAACCTCGCGTCTACTCAGTCATTCAGAACATCATTGATTGTTCTTCTCAAAATTTTATGAAAGACTAGAATAATATGCTAAAGATTTGAACATAGAAATATTTTATTTTTTTTATTTTATTTTATTTGACCCATCTTCACGTCTGCTATGCGGATTCAAACACTTCTCACATTCTATTCCCTTCCTCGCATCCATTCTCCACAAAGATCTCCCAACTTTCACGCGTGGCTTAGGAAGGATTTTCATTTCATCTTAAATGCCGTGGAATGCTGGAATTGGATTGCAGCCACTAGTGCGATACCAATTTCGCGACCTCGGATGGATTGAGGGCTTGGTTGGCCTGGAGCGAAATCGAGCTAGCACCATGCTCGTGATGACGGGCATCACTACCACTGTGCTCTCCGCCCCCTGAGCATCGAAATAACGAATACCAACTGCAGAAAAACAAGTGATTTTCTTCGCATTTTTGTTGAGCAAACGCGAGGTGTTACTATTCTTTGTTCACGATTAAGCTGACGTTTCGGCGGATTTCGCCTTCTTCAGAGCCTGGAAAGGTCAAGTTGATAGCAATCCACTCGGCCAGACGCCTCCATAACCAAACAAAGAAACTCTAAACCAAGATTTCAATCACTTTGAACACAGCTTTGCACACTCACCGCTTTCTATGAGGTTTCCACTAAGTATGTCACGTAGAGACCAACCGCACAGAAATCACATGGAAGTATAATGTGCCCCTCACATCAGAAAAGCAGTCTTATATACTGCCCTATATCACGCGTGATAATGAGGCATTCTTTCCTGCGGTTCATTTTCGGATTTCTGGAATTAATCCAGAGTGCCTCGAGAGTTTTTCGCGCCTGTGTTCTTGATTCGCGTGCGAGGATCGTGACACATACTTCGATGTCCTTCCCGTTATGTCTCTGGGTCCTATGCGTGCCTAGCGGGGTATTTGGTCTATTTTTGCCGGCTAAGTGTTCTTTCATGCGGACACAGAGGGG